TATAATCAAATATTTTTTATTATGATGTTGTGGGGTACAGTTAAGGGTTAGGTATACAAATATGCTTCGTTTAGGCACCCTTGTTGATAAGAGGTGTCTCCCCGTAATAATTATTTTTATTCCACTGTGATATGACAAGATGTATGGTATTGTTTAGATCTTTTGAAGTTTGTTCAGGGCGGGCTCGGCGGCTCAGCTTATAATCCCGCGCTTTGGGAGGCCAAGGTGAGTGAATTGCCTGATCCCGTGGGTTCGAGACCTGCCCAGGCAACTTGGCGAGACCTCATCTCTACAATAAATTAAAAATTTGCTGGGTGTGGTAGCACACACCTGTAGTTCTAGCTACTTGGAAGGCTGAGGCATAAGGATTGCTGGAGCCCAGCAGGTTGAGGCTGCGGTGGCTGGGAGCGTGCCACTGCACTCCAGTCTGGGCGACAGAGTGAGACTCCAACTCAAAAAAAAGAAATTTGTTCATGCTTGATTTATACCCAAGAATGTAGTCAATCTTGTAGTATGTTCCATGTGCCGAGGAGTACAATATATGCTCTGTAGATGCTGGATGGAGTGTTCTGTAGATGTCTATTAAATCAATTTGATCGAGTTCCAAGTTAAGGTTCTGGATCTCCTTGTTGGTTTTCCAATCTCCTCAATGGTATATCTAGAGCTGTTAGTATTTAGTTCTCTAACTATGTTTGTGTGAGAGTCAAGGTCCTCTATTAGTTTACTTAGTAGTTTTTTTATAAAACCTGGTGCTCCTGCTTAAGATGATATTTCTTGTTGGTGGATTGAGTCTTTTTTTTTAGTTGGAGTCCCACTCTGTCACCCAGGCTAGAGTGCAGTGGCATGCTCATGGCTACCATAGCCTCAACCTGCTGGGTTCAGGTGATCCTTCCACCTCAGCCTTCCAAGTAGCTGGGACTACAGGTGCACACCATTATGCCTGGCTAATTTTTTTATTTATTGTAGAGATGAGGTCTTGCCGTGTTGCCTAGGTTGTTCTCGAACCCGTGGGCTCCTGTAATCCTCTTGCCTCCTCCTCCCAAAGTGCTGAAGCAGGTGTGAGCCACCACGCCCAGCTAAGATTGAGCCTTTTATATATGTAGTGTCCTTTCATGTCCTTTTAAAACTTTTGATGGTTTGAAATCCGCCTTGTCTGATATCAGAATACCTACACCTGCTTTCTTCTGTTTTCCATATGCCTGAAAGACCGTTTTCCAGCCCCCAACTTTGAGCCTGTTGGTGTCCTTTGCAATGAGATGCGTTTCCTGGAGGCAGAAGACTGTTGGATCGTGCTTCTTTATCCTTGAAATGAATAGGCTTTTCTGAAATTGGCCAACTCTGCTTTTTCTATCTATATGACTTCAATGAGTTTCACTTCTAGTTTCTCTTGGTTCTTTCTGTTCCTTTTAGCCACCCAATCTCTGATTTCTCTATCATCTGGGGCAGGTCGTTCAGGGAGGTTTTCATTGCTTATGTTCTGATAGTTGCTTTTTATGGATGCTCTTTAGTACTCTGAGGCTGCCTATATTTTTTCATTGGCTTTTCCTCATTTGTGTCAGGCATCTCTTCCCTCTCTGTGATTCCTTTTGATTTTGTTGCTCTGAAGCTAGTCACTCACCCTCTGTTCTCAGGCCCTTTCTATGGTTCAATACAGGTAACTCAGTGAGAAAGCAAGGGGGCATTCATTACTGCTCCTTGCTCTACCCTGTGGCAGGCCCTGCTGCTAGCACTCTGTGAAGAGTGGGTGAGGGGATGGCCCCTCATCTGCTGTCTGCTGTTTGTTGCCCAGAAACTTTCCCACAGAGAAATCCTTTTGGTGTCTTTCATGTCACTCCCTCCCTGTTCAAATTGACAACTTGCTCTTGAACAAGAGTGATTTCCTTGCCACAGGGTGTGTGTGAGTGGGGGAGGGGGAAACACACCCCATAGGTACGCAGGACTTGGTGATTCTTCCTGATCTGGCTGGGAAGTGGGGCTGGGTACCAGCAAGATCCACTCTGCAGGTGGGTTATTTCCCGCATTCTGCTTGAGGTCCCAGTTGCCCACTGCTGTCTCCTGACCAGGACTCCTCCCATGTGGACTGATGACTCATGCATGGCTGGGAGGGAGTGAATGAACCCAAAGTGTCTTAGGTACACTCACCCACTCTCATTCACCGGGCAGGACTTTAGTTCCTGTGCAGACATGGTGCACAGCAGGGGTTGGGATGCCCAGGTTCCTGCATCTAACATCATTTTCTGGTCTCTACGTGTTCAAAGAGAGCTTTGCTGGGTACAGGGTGCTTCACTCATCCAAAAGCATTCGAGGTATCGCTATTGGTGGCTTGGTACCTACTCTGCCTTGCTCGGTGAGTGTGCCTGTCTGCTGTTCCTGGGTGGCCATTTTGGATCTGTTTGTCAATTTTTTTTTTTGAGTTGAAGTCCCACTCTGTCGCCCAGGTTGGAGTGCACTCATGGCCACCACAGCCTCAACCTGCTGGGTTCAGGTGATCCTTCCACCTCAGCCTTCCAAGTAGCTGGAACTACAGGTACATGTCACCATACCTGGCTAATTTTTTTGATTTATTGTAGAGACAAGGTCTAGCCAAGTTGCCCAGGCTGGTCTTGAACCCCTGGGTTTAGGCAATCCTCTTGTCTCTGCCCCCCCAATATTAGGATTACAGACATGAGTTACCACAGCCGGCTGTCAATTTCCGTTAGATAAAAAAACCAGCTCAAATTTTTTTTATAGAGATTGCATTTAATCTTCGATCGAGTTAGAGTTTATCTTTTCAAGCAACTCAATTTTAGTGTGGTTTTTGTGCAAAGATAACCGATAGACCACTCTGTGTGGGGAAGCATCTATTTTGTTGCAGATAAAGGAGGATGACTTCTTTCTATAAAGAATGAAATTTTGAACCAGGCATGGTGGTTCAGCCTGTAATCCCAGCACTTTGGGAAGCCAAGGCAAGAGGCCTACCTGAGCCCAGGGGTTCAAGACCAGCCTGGACAACTTGGTGAGACCTTGTCTCTACAATAAATCACAAAAACTAGCTGGGCATGGTGGTGTGCGTCTAGTTCCAGCTACTTGGAAAGCTGAGATGTAAGGATTGCCTAAAGCCCAGCAGTTCAAGGCTGTGGTAGCTGTGAGTGTGCCACTGCACTCCAGCCTGGGTGGTAAGAGTGAGACTCCAACTAAAAAAAAAAAAAAGAAATTTTGTCTGCAAGGTGTCTCCCTCTAGAAAGAAAATGGGGCTTTTCTTAGAACAAAGAGTCTTTTGCATTAGTGGTACACCTAAATTTCCAAGTTGAACGCTTTTCATCATTTCAAGCTGCCACTCCAAGTGGTACTCACTTCTACTACTTGTCCTATACACTATCTTTCACCCCATCCTCCCTAGCCAGGAGTAATTTTGCTGCACTGGAAACAGTCCATTGGACCTGAGATTCTTATTCTCCAGCCTTGTGTGCCTCCTGTTTAGAGTAGGGATTTGCTGAGGGAAATAGGGACCTAGGCTGCTGTGATCCTACCCCCAACAGGAAAAAGCCCAGAGCTAAGCTGAGAATGTTACGGATGACCAGATAGGAGGCTTTAGCTAAGATCAGAATAAAGCTATTGCTGAGACTGAGAGTGTTAAAAATGTTCGACAGATACTAGAAGTCTTATTCTTCTTCTTGGTAGTGACTCTAATGGGAGGTTTTTGCCCACATCGTTCCATCTCTAAGTTCTGAGTGAGGCAGTTCTGGTTAAATAAAACCTGCATCAGGGCATGCAGCCTGCTTTCCACTATGTGCAGAAGACCGAGAGCCAGCCCCAGTCCCACAGTTGAGAGGTCAGGCTGGCATCCAGGAAAAGGCATTGACAAGATCCTTGGGAGGGCAGTGTGCTCCCAAAGCCTGCCCACTCCCTCTGGCCTTTGAAGATTCCAGTCTGTGGTTCTGCCCCTTTCTCACTCCCCAGCTAGGATGGAAAACATGATGTGTGTAGCAGAAGAGACAAGTTTGTGGGGTTCACTCCAGGCCTGGGCTACTGTCAGGTCAAATACCCATTTTATTCATACAGGAAATGTCCAAGGAGGATCACCCCAACCTTTGCAACAGGAAGCAAGGCCGGAATCTAGAAAAAGAACTATTGGATTCAGACAATCCAGAAAGACCCTGCCAAGTCAGCTTAAGACTTTGCCAGGGTGAGAGAACATAAAAGGCAACAGAAAAGCCTCGGGCAGCCTGATCCACGAGGGGGCCTAGCGGAAGTAGTTGGGACATTCGTGGGCCACCAGGTGCCAGGCTTGATCAAAAGCATCCACGACAGCCGGCTCCAGAGGCCCTTCTTCTGTCGCTGCCAAGTTCTGTTCCAGCTGCTCCTGGCTGGACATGCCCAGAATGACTGCATCCCTGTGGGCACCCTGCAAGGGAGACGGCCAGATTTCATGCACTCTGCTGCACAGCAACTCCACGCACACACACTCCCAGCCATGCCCCTGCTGAGATCTGTACTCTGTTTATTAGTTTAATTATTATTATTTTATTTTATTTTGAGTCAGGGTCTCACTCTGTTGTGCAGCCTTGACTTCCTGGGAACTAAAGCATTTAGTTCCTGTTTATTAAGCACCTCCGATGTATGTGTGGCAGACATTAGACAATGTGTAAGGCTGAAGCTGGAGACAAGTTTAACCAGGAAGATGTGGGACACCGAAAGAGTGGGGAAACCCCAGTTCCCACTTGGGAGCAAGGCAGGAATCTTGAAAAAGAACTGTTGGATCTAGACAATCCAGAAAGACTCTGCCAAGTCAGCTTAAGGCAAAGACTGGCCAGGGTGAGAGAACAAACAGGTGATAGAAAAGCCTTTGGGAAGCCTGAGCCACGAAGGGGCCTAGCAGAAGTAGTTGGGACGTTTGAGGGCCTCCAGGTGCTAGATTTGATCAAAGGCATTCACAATGTTAGATCAGGACATATCAATGTGTAACCACTATTAATGGTTCGTTTATTCAATGATTAAAGTCCTACGCAATCTGAGTTAGACTGGAGTAATCCAGGTTAGTTTCCATGTATTTCTGATTTCTCCCAGTAGAAAAGGAGGAGAAATAGGGACTACTTCAACTAAGTGCCTTAAAATTTATAGATGAAATAATGTAAATCTAATAAATTGATCATTTAGTGGGTTTTGCAGTGAAACCTGTGCTAAAATTTCTATCCCCTTAACAACTGGGTGAGCTCCAGTTTCCTCATCAATGAACCTAAGGAATCACACTTCACAAGGACTGAGGAATAATGGGGCCCATGTCCATAAAGCTCTTGCTACAAAGACTTAGGTCACATCAAAGCACAGTGGGAAACTGCCTATGAGACCTGGAAGAAAGAGGAAATTCGGAGGAGGAGAGAAAACAAGATCGCTAGAAACCACCTAAAGGTTATGCTGGCTCCCCAGGAAAGCAGAAGCTGAGCACCAGGAGCGCAGGTTACCTGTAGCTGCGAGTGATGGTACATCCACCGGAGGGCGGCTGAGGTCATGCTGGGGGCGCTGGCACCATATGTGGCCTGCAGGGCCTTCTCCACCAGGGCAATGGCCTTGAAGTGGTGCTCCTTCCAAAAGCTGGATAGGTGGGACCAGAGGCACAGGAGTCAGTATCATGGGGCCACACTGGTGGCCATGGCCAAAGAGCCAACGAGGGCCACTGCCCTACCCCACAAATTGTAGCCTGGAGGGGCTACTGTCCTAACCACAGGTCTCCTGCTGGGCCTGAGAACCACCCAGGATGCTGGCTCCCTCCCCAGCGACATCAATGACATCTTTATTCCCAAGAACCCACAACCTGCCCTATGTTACCTAGGGACACAAAAGCAGCTAAGACAGGGCAGAACTGGGCCCCAAGCCTCCTGAGCTTCCATCTAAGCTTCTTTCTCTCCTTCTCAGCAGGTGATTTCTCAGGGAAGAATTGACTTGGAACACCCCAAGATCCTGGGGTCCTCATTTCCTCATGGAGGTCCCAAGAAAACAAGAAACCTGCTGAGAGTTTGGGAATTCCTGAAGGAATCAGGAGACAAAGGCAGCCAGCAAGGGAAGGCCCCACCCCAGGAGAGCAGCCTAGAACTTCATTTCAGATAAAGGGGACCACACCCCATGCATCCTGATGCAGACATCTTCAGCTCACCGATTTCTGTAGGTCTCAGCCCAGCTATTTCCAAAGAAGCGGCCCACGGGTTGTCTCCCGTCCTTGTCTTCATACTTGTACTTGCCTGTCAGCAGGCCCCCTGCAGGAAGGCGGCAGTCAGTCCCTGGTCCAGAATGCTCCCAGAGGCTGCTCAGACCCTCAGGGCTTTGGATGAGAGAGGAGGAGGAACCCAGGAGGGATGGAGGGTGCAGCCTAGCCTCCCAGCCAACCCCTCCCTGTTTCCCTGGTCCTGGGCTGGGCATCTATGGATAGGGAATAGGCAGAAAGAGGGCTAGGATGCCCTGCCACCCCAGGAGCCTGTCCTCATGGCAGCACATACCAGCCAAAGGGTTGTAAGCATAGAACTTCAGTCCAAAGTGCCTGAGGCAGGGGAAGAGCTCCGTTTCTACCTGCCGGGTGGTGGCGTTGTACATGCCCTGCAGGGAGAGGTGCCAGCGGGAGAGGGTGAAAGTGTCAGGGGAAGAGACCGCAGCCTTCCTCTTTTAAAACTCTAAATCAGCCAGGCGCGGTGGCTCATGCCTGTAATCCCAGCACTTTGGGAGGCGAGAGGATTGCCTGAGCAACATGGCAAGACGTCATCTCTACAATAAATCAAAAAATCAGCTGTGCGTGGTGGCGCATGCCTGTGGTTCCAGCTACTTGGAAGGCTGAGGTGGAAGAATCGCCTGAGCCCAGCAGGTCGAGGTTGCCGGAGTCGTAAGCACTGCACTCTAGCCTGGGTGACAGAGTGAGAGTTTGACTCAAAAAAACTCCCAAAAAACAAAAAACTCTAAATCCACACCAGCCCAAGACTTTAGCAGTATTTCTTAAATCACTAGTGTTAGTAGGGGATAGGGAGAGTGTGCTGGACCCAAGAATGGGAAATGGATCTGGATTATTCCACAAGGATCTATATATACCAACTACAGACTGGACACTGGATTTATAACTATGAGCAGGTCTCACAAAGTCTCTGTCTCCCACGGATGTTACAGACAAGTTTAAATAAACAAGACAGATAATTACAATAAAGTCAGGTTCTATGATCACAGCGGGAGCTCAAAAATACTTGCTGAATGTAAAGCAGGGAAGAAAGGGGCCAAGGCGCATACTGAGGTCAGCAAGCACCTGGTGGCCAGGCTGAGGGGCTTGGAGTCACCCTGAGGGTACCCGGGAGCCATCTACAGGTAGCAGGAGAGGGGCTTCTCTGCAGAGGGCATGGGGGGCAGTCAGAGGTCCAAAGAGAACCAGGGATGGGCTGGAGCCCTGGAGTCCGAGGCCTCTGCAGCCCAGCCCTCACCTGGTACACGGTCGGCAGGATCCAGCCATTGCTGTTGCAGAGGGTACAGATCTGGGCCACCTCCCATGCAGCATAGTTGGAGAGGCCAAGCTCTAGGAACTTGCCCTGTGGGATGAGGCTACAGTTAGACCCCACTGCAGCCCAAGAGACCAGGAAAGGGGCCCAGGGGAGGAATCCCGGGAGTGGGGCTGCCCTGGCACCTCCAGTCTCCTGCGTATCAGGATAAGGAGGAGCAACAGATCACCTCCCGAGCTTGAGGCACCCCTCACCTCTTGGTGCAGCTGGTGGCAGGCGCGTAGCGTCTCTTCCACTGGGGTGCCATGGTCCGGTGCATGTAGGTAGAAGAGGTCCACTCGGGGGCACTGCAGCCGCTTCAGTGATGTCTCCAGCTGGGACCGGAGACTGTCAGGTTTCAGGGACTTTCCATCCCAAGGGTTGGCCTTGGTAGCAATTTTTACTTGAGGGACGTAATGGTTAAGAGACTTATTAGAACTATTTGCTAACCATGTAACTCTGGCTAAATTACTTAAACTCTCTCAGTCTTAATTCCCTAATCTGTAAAATAGGGGTGACATTAATTGAAATGTCCTCTCTGGAGGTCATGGGGATTACATAATGTCTTGTCGCCAAGTTGTCAATGCTTAGTTCTGTTGCACTCTCATTAGTGCCACCGTGCTGGCTATGGCAGACCTTGCACTAGAGTCTAAGTGTGCAGAGATGAACTGAACACAGCGGATCCTGGGCCCGCAGTCCAGAGAGTGACTACAATATGGTACATGCAGGGGAGAAATGGACATGGTCTAAGGAGCCCAGGGGAGATGCATGAGATCATCTTGGGGATCCCAGAAAAGGCCTTCTCCTAGGGACCATCCCCAGGCTGAGTCCAAGTCATCAAGAAAGGGTGGGAAGCGCATTCCAAAGCATGGGAACACCTGCAAAGTCAGAGACAAGTAAATAGTATGTGAAGCTCCGCACCTCCAATTCTGAGTTGTAAGAGCGAAATTTCCAGGGCAGGGAACAGTGGGACATGAGGAAAGAGAAGTACGGCAGACCTGATCCCAAAGGCTCTCAAACACCAACCCGCTGAGTCTGGATTTATCAATCCAGGTTTTGTCAGGGTGTGAACCTGTCACCCATGTGTAGTATAGAGCAAGAACTCAAGGGGGCAGGCCTGGAAGACAAGCAGTGAGGCTGTCACAAGAATTCAGGAGAGACACAGCCATCTGAATGTGGGCCAGTGGCAGAGATCAATCTGAGCCTGTTAGAAGTAAGACCGAGCAGAAGGTAACTGTAGACTCACAGACGGATGTGCACACACACACCCACTCTGGAAACACGATCCCTGTGAGAATAAGCTGTTCTGCCATCCCACCATCTTGGAAGTGAGTTGACTTAGCATCATTCCTTCCCCTATACAGGATCCCGGCTGTTGGGATTGGTGGATGGATGGTTCTGCACTTTTCATCCCTTGGCAAAGTCAACTCAGCAACTCAGAGGTTTGTCACGAGATCACTTGGGATAAGGAAAAGAGCAATTTCATATCTTCTCATCCAGACTGTCTCCATTCCCCCAGGACTCCCCCAGGCATTCCTGGTGTGACCTTTGTCTCAGGTCTGACCTGAGGACTTCAGCCCAGTGAGTGCCTGGCCTCCAAGAAGGAAGCAGGGAAGGGCTATAACTCTACGGAGGACCCAGAGAGGACCCCTCCACAGGGGTGGGGGGCAAGAGCCTCAGGTGGCAGATAGGAGGCAGAACAGGGTAATGATAAGAGCCCACATTTAATGGGCCCTCACTAGTGCCAGGCCCCCTCCGAAGCATTATCAACAACATCAGGCTAAAGAGGGACAGTCCCTCCCTCCTCCATTCGAGTCACACCTGCCCACTGACCTTCCTTTCACAGACCTCACACTTTGCATTTCCAAGCTATGTCTCTGCACAGACTAATCTCCTTTCCCTCATTCTCCCCCGGCCCTTAAGGACCAGCTTCTGAGTTCTCTGAGCTTCCTCGTGCCTCTCCCAAGCCGGCACTGCCCCAAAGTGCTCTCTCTTCTGGACTCTTCAGCAATCATTGCTTCAATCGTCCCCTCCCCTCTAGGCTCTAGAGTTACTTTCCCTTCCATAGCCCCACGTCAAAGCCTGGCACAGAACGGACAGAACGGCCTTACCCAGCCACTACCCTACCACCCCTGGCCCTTGGCATGGCGACAGTTCTCCCTGGGAGGCCCAGAGGTACTGCCAACCGAACAGGGCAAAGTCTAGGAAAGATCAGGAGGAGAAAAGTGCTGGGGGAGCGTTTAAGTGGTGAGGGCAATGAGGGGATAAGGGACAGGCGGACATCTGGGTGGGGACCGGTTATGGGCACCCAGGCGGGGGCTGCAACGAGGGCAGGGAGTGTAGGGCCAAACCCGGGGAGAGACGCCGAGCTGCAACTCCCAAGGGAGGGAGAAGGGGAGTGAGGGAGCCAGGACAAAGCACCGTCCGGCTGCCCGAGGCTGGCTGTGCCTGGGGAGCCTGGGTTCACAGAGCTGCGGGGTGGACGCGGGCGTGCTGGGGACGACGCTGTAGGTGCTGCCCGCCGCCAGTGCACGGTGGGGGACGAGGTCAGCTGTGCCGGTGCAGGGAAGGCCAGGAGCGCCTGTTACCTCTGCAGTCGCCGCCGCCCAGCCCGAGCCCCAGACCGCCCACGATGCTCTCGGACTGGCCGTCGCTGTACATGAAGGCCGTGTCCAGCTCGGTGTGACCGCGCTCCAGGAAGGCGCGCACGGCCGCGGCGCTGGCGGGCGCGTCCATGCGGCGCCCCA